TGTGTGCCTGGGGGCACAGTCGGTTGTTAAGCGTCTGCCTTTGGCTCAGGTCATGATCTCAGGGTCCTGGGATTGAGCCCCACATCTGCAGCGGGCTCCCTGCTCCCCGGGAGAGTCTGCTGTTTCTCCCTCTCTCCCTCCCCCTGCTTGTGCTCTCTCGTTTTCTCTGTCAAATAAATAAAATCTTAAGGAAAAAAAAAACCTAACATGAGGCCTGTTTTGAGCAATCCCCCCTTCCACCCCCAGCGGAGGGGCCCCTCTCTCTTCCAACCTGGTTCCCAGTTCCTCCGATAGCTGGCACAGGACCCCATGTTATTATAGGTGATTTGTCTGTAACCCTGCACCCCCCCCACCTGCCCCGTCAGCTACCAGAAAGATCCCACTTGGACTGCTTTTTCCACCGCTGTCCTGTGCACTTCCACCAGTGCCTAGCACCTAAATATTTGTTGAATGGCTGAGTGAATGGGTAAGGATTAAATGAGGTGATATTATCAATCAATCTTAAAAAATAAAAAAAAACAAATATTAATCACATCTAAAAAATATCTTCACAGCAACTTCCACATCCGTGTTTGATTCGAATATCTGGGTACCATGGCCTTACCAAGTTGACACGTAAATTTAACTATCACAGTACCTATCTCATTCAGGTGTGAGGATTAAACACATATAAAGCATCTGACAAAACTGTCCCCACACCAGGGAACCAAAAAGCAATGTGGTGTGTGTATAAGTTCTTTATCAATGGCATGATTTTAAAGTGCTTGAGGGAATATGGAAAACACCTTTGAAATTTTCATTTAATCCAAAAAGGAATTTGAAATACCTAAGGTTACTTCTCCCTATAGTCTTTTTTTTTTTTTTAAAGATTTTATTTACTTATTTGTCAGAGCGAGAGCGCAAGCAGGGGGAGTGGCAGGCAGAGGGAAAAGCAGGATCCCCACCAAGAAAGGAGCCCGACGAGGGGCTCGATCCCAGGACCCTGGGATCGTGACCCGAGCCGAAGGCACACGCTCAACCGACCGAACCACCCAGATGCCCCTCTCCCTGTAGTCTTTTAGATAACATAATTCAGTATGGCATTATGTATGTTACAAAAGTTCTACTTAAACGCATTTTTTCCCCTGAGACTATATATATATATGGATGATCTCATTCTTTACATAGCAAATATTATATAATGCCCCTTACTTTCCTAAATTCATAATTACACACATAATTCATTACAAACCAATATAATGCCCTAGATGTACTATTTAAGAAAGTAACATATTACATTTTTTTTTTAAAGATTTTATCTATTTATTTGAGAGAGAGAGAGAATGAGAGATAGAGAGCACGAGAGGGGGGAGGGTCAGAGGGAGAAGCAGACTCCCTGCTGAGCAGGGAGCCCAATGCGGGACTCGATCCCGGGACTCCAGGATCATGACCTGAGCCGAAGGCAGTCACTTAACCAACTGAGCCACCCAGGCGCCCTATTACAACATATTTTAATAGGGAGACACTGAAACACTAGATTAGAATAGAAAATATAATGAAGCAGGCAGAGGCTTGCATCTATATGTAGTTTCCATGAATGCTATAATTACAAATGAAGGACTCAAATTCATTAGCGTAGTAGCTGTTGTTAATGTTGTTTTCCAAATTTATGTTAATTCTTGTAAAAACCCTGAATCTTACAACGTAAAATCTTCCCTCAATTTATACAACGGGTGGCATTCCTGGAAAATTCAGCATATATTAAAATCATGTGAAAAACACATTGGGCTTTTATGTAAAGCAGAATTAAATTCTTAGCTTAGATAATTATAAGCAGCTTTTTCACCCACATGAATGTCCAGCAGAACATTTAAAAGTCATGCAGGAGGGGGGACAATTCCTCATTCTGTGGGGTGTCCCATACATTACAAGACATTTCTCTTACCATCCTCAGCCCCCAGCCTCTATGGGCCAGTAACTCTCACCCACCATTATGCTAACCAAAAATGTCCCTACACTTCCAAAACATCCCTGCTGAAAATCACTGACATATATAACCACTCGTTTCGGCATGAATTAATGGAAATGAGACCTCTAAGTTTTTAAGAGCTAAGATTAAATTAACAAATCACATGCAGTACGAGGAAAATGTTCAAGATAAGTTCAAAAGGTTTATTGCACCAAATGCCACAGAAAAATGGATCAAAATAATACATGAACAAGTTTTAAGAAAAAATTTCTATACATTGACATTGATACCTATTTACCTGATCAAAAATATAAAGTCCTATCAGTGTGTCTTACTGGAGCTTCAGTAATAATAAAAAGCCCAGAATTTTTTCTTTTTAAACACCACTTAAATTTAAGCATATTGCAATCTTGCTCCCAAGATATATGGTCACCAAAATTTTGACATTTAAAAATTAACACTCCAGAGGGGGCTGCTTGATTTAGGTAAATATTATATTAAAATATCCCCTCCCCCACAGCACAATAAAAAAACAAATGGTTCACATTTACCAAGAGAAGCTAAAGATTTTTTCAATTTAATGGTGAAAGTATGCATGAACAAAATACTTTCAAAAGTACATATTAGTGGGAAAATCCAGACATTTAAAAGAATTTTAGGGTCACTTTATATTCTTTATTTTTATGTACAACCAACTCTAGTGAAGAACCTAAAAAGCTACAGACTAAATTTTTTATAAAATCTCAGGACCTAATTATAAGAGCCTAAACAACAGTTTAGTATCACTTAGCAAGTGGGGACCTTCCTCCCTCCAAAAAAGTTACTTTTGAAAAATATGGTAAGTTTAAAAAGTTGCGATGTGTAAACGGCAGTTCCATGGGATGTGAAAAGATTATAGTTACTTTTATTAAAAAACAGCACACCTCAGAAAAATGGATTGAAGCCTGTACAAAAAGCTATTTAACACTGATAAAAATAAAATACTTTGGAATTATGCACAAGTATGGAAGCTACATTTTAAATTTTCATTGTCATGTTTAAACGTACACAATTATCTTTACATTCATATCACTCGTCAATCTATTAAAAAATAAAACCGCAACATGCTAGAAAGAGGTCCGTCACAGTAACATTTACACACTTCTGCTCTGTCATGCCTCACTGGCTTGCTTAAAAAGGCAAGATGCTACAAAAGTCACACTCAACAGGTAAGACTTAAAAGTTGAAGAAACCCTAAAGGTGGCATCCTGTCAACTGAGGTAGTTTTCTTTCTTTTTTTTTTTTTTTTTAATTTTAATTTTTTTCTTGAGGTGGGCATTGGGAGAGGGCGGGATCCCTTTCTTGCCTCTTGGGCTACGACAGAATGAAGCCACCGGGCGGTGTGAGTGGGTGTATCTCAACGCAAATTCCATGAGATTTTTTTTTTTTCTTTTCCACTTTTGGGAAGAGGTTGAATTTAAGACAAACAAAACTTGAGTGTTATTTAAAGGAGGATTACAAAAGAGCAGCAACATTCTTGGTCTGTTTTTGTAGGCAACAGACGTGAGGATTAGGTTCTGACTGGAATCCTGAGTGTCACTGGGACAACCCCCACACGTGACCCACCTGTAGTTTTCCAACAGACATTTTCCAAGAGAGAGTTTTAGAACAGTAGATTGAGGCAAATTAAATTTTCTCAGGCTTTGAGAGGACTGGGCTAAATTTTGATGTATGGAGTTTAGAATCAGCCATTTAAAGCTCAATTTCCCCCCACACGGGTCTAATTTTCAACATGTCGCTATGTATACACATTTTGAATGAAACTGGTTTTGTATCTAGTTATTTTCTATGAATCCCCGGAAAGTGGTGAATGAGGGAAAGTGCTCAAAACGTGTAAACAAGGAAAGGGGAAAGAGAGATGAGGGGAATGCTCTAAACTGGTACAGATAGGAATGATGTAATATCAGCTATTATAATTTATTCACACATTAACGAGAAACAAATAGTGAGTGAGCTGAGCCACAGGTGAGGTTCATTCTCTGTGTAACATAACAGCAAGCAGTGATGTCACAGAACTAGAGACTTAAGCCACCAAACTCAGATGTTAGAGGAAATTAAAAGGATGGAAAACTTCAATCTTGCAAAAGAAAGACATAAAATAAAAATTAAAGATCTTAAGAACCTTAATGCACCCACCTACATTTCACATCATAAAAAGAGACGGGAAGGCAGCAGTTCTGACCTATTCCTAAAGAATTATTACACCTATTTTTCTCCATTAGTACTGCGGCTTACTCTTTCAAACAAACAATTAACTTGCATTTGTAAAAGAATAAACTTGGTGGTTTACAATCAGGATTTTATCAAATAAAAAATCTGAAGTCATTCTAACCCCTAAAAGGGAAGTTACTTCATAATCTTAGGTACAAAAGTGTACACGACAAGGACCGGAATTAATTCACACAGCAGTGAAAGGAAATCAGAGCCTGGTTATAATCAACTGTACTCAAGATCTGCAAGGTGCTAACAATGTTCTGATTTGCAAGATTAGCACCTGTCTTTTCACGATCTAATTCTGAAAAGTCTTTTCCTTTACCCTGGACATCAGTACATAGTCTAACGTGGCCAGAGTTCATGGCCAGGAAACTAAGTGAAGTTTCTTTTACATTTAACAAAAAATCACGGTTTCTGAAAAAGTGAACTATGCTAATAATCCCTCATTTTGGCAGATTTTATAATGGGTAAGTTAATTTCTGGAGAGGTGTTTTGTGAAGGACTTAAGAGATTAGAAGGCACAGAGATGATAATGTAAAAACTGAGATCACTTATGGATTGTTGGTCAATGTACAAACTAACTCCTTTCCTTAGTCGTCCTGAACTGTTGCAGGTTCATTTCCCGCCAGGCCAGCTGTGCCTCTGAAAGTACAAATAGTCATTTGTATTAACTATTACAGGAAGCTTCGGCTGGAAGAATTTAGCAACAGAAACACTCTTGTGAGCTTATAGAAATAACTTTGGTAAGTGGCCTCTCTTAAAAAGGCTGCTGAAAGCTCTAAGTATGAGGATAAAACATGGTACCAGACTGTGTACTCTGCTGCTCTGAACTAAATCTTGATGAGATTAAGATGCTACACTGATTCCTGGGTTTATTGCACCAACAGTCCGTCTCTAACCTACCTGTGGCTGCATCTGCAACAAGGTAAACTCCAAGAAGGTGTGGAAACAGTGGGTCCCTACAGCACCCTCTGCCCAAAGGTCGATCCTCCTTCCTGATTTGTCAGGCAGTAATGCCTACAGCCACTGGAGTGGAAGATGGCACAATGTGGCTTGCTTGCTTTCACCTTTTGTAAAAAGCAAACTCTGCCCTGGAATCCAAATCCCTTGTTCTGACTGTCTTCTTAGAGTAGCAAATTGCACGTTCTCCACTTTGGAGAGCTCATGCTTAAACTCCGAAACGTTGTCCTACTGGAATGGTATGTACACCAGTTACCCCTGCTCCCAAGTCCCTTGTCATTCTGCCCAAACACACACAGTGATCTGTACCAGCAGCTTAGTGTTTAGTGTAGTGTTTATGTCTCCTCCTACCAAAAAGGTCACTCTCTCTGTTGATTCATGGATAACAAAAGGCCAAAGAGTATTCACAAAAAACACAAATGCCATTATGTCAAGTAAACCTAAGTCGTCCAACGAAGCATCCACTTGAAAGCAACAAAACAAAACAAAGTGATGGAATGACTGTTTGTTTGCTCTTCTCATGCTTTTGACGTCACAGAGAGCTTATTCCTTTCACCTTCAGTTGAGAATCTGATGTTTTTTTTTTCTTCCAAGGAAAAACTGTCCTGAGCTTTAGCTTATAAGAGTATCTGAGCGACGTAAGGAGAATGAGTACTGGCAATAGCAGTCAACAGAGGCAGGTCGTTGGATTCAATCCTGAATGGTGAAAAAAAAAAAAAAAGAATGTTAAAGTAGCACGATTTTACAGGAAAGTATTATTGCTAGGTACCAAACTTGCCAGATCATTGCTTAAAACTAATGACAAAGTAAGAGATGGAAAGATGCTAAACCTGTTCTTTTAATACGATCTCCCAATGGCCGCCACCCGACGACACAGAAAAAGATGCAGGTGTGCTGTGTGTGCGTGTGTGGGGGGACACAAAGCTGCTCTTCCCACAGTTGGGGTTGCCCAGTTTAAGCCCACAAAGCTGCTCTTCCCACAGTTGGGGTTGCCCAGTTTAAGCCCAGAAGTTTTCTATGTTCCTCGACCGCGTCACTGGGTTGTACTGTAACGTCCTCTCCAGTATCTCCTCATTCTTCCAGTCAGTGCTCTGGAACACGTACTGAGATTCCGCACCTAGGCTGGAATCAGGCTTAGGAAAATGATGAAGGTGGGAGTTTTTTCTAAAAACTTGGGGATTTGTTCAACTGGTTAGACAATTCAGCTCCTCACTAAGCATCTGAGCTACAAGATTCTGGGAGCAAAGTGACACTAATAGATGCTGAGTCAAGAGACAACATAGCATCAAATGGACGTGACTTTGGCTGCCTCTCTTACAGCAGAGGCGGATACAGCATGGTCACTGGCTAAACGCTGCCAAATGTCCTGAAAAAAATTAGGACTGCTTCAGTCCATGGAATATGTCCTATTTTTTTTCCCCTTGAATTCCAAAAATGAAAAATCAAAAATAAAATTTAAAAAGGTAGCTGGCATTACTTCATGGAACTTTCTATGCTTTCTCCAGTAATGCTGCCTACAGATCTCCTTTCAGGGTAGATAAGAAGTTCTTCAGTACCTTTTGTGCTGCTAGCTCTGACTAGGAGAGGAAGGGGCTAGAGCAAGGCTGGATGTGACCCCCACTAATAATGCACCAAGAGGACCGAGAGATGAGGAAGATAAATAAGTCCTTATGATCCTTCTAATAGTGTCGATGGACACCTGCCAGTCAGGGTCCAGGTGAAGATCCTAGAAATGTAAGGCACACATCTGGCAATGGAAACCTGGTGAGGCAGGACTCAAGTCTGAGGCTGGTAAAGAGATCTAAACAACTAAGAACAACTATAACAGCAACAAAGATAACACTGCAAGTTAACTGCCAAAGCAAATGCCTCAAAAGGGAAAAACATTTTTTTGAATAAAGTATGGGGGAAAAAAATGCATGACAGGAAATGCCAAGAGCCAAACAATACAGTAAGTCATATCCTGGGTGTGAAAGATGAAAAGTCTGACGTGAATGCAAAGGCCCAAGTCTTGAAATAATATTTTGATTAGCAGGCTTGATAGAGAATTTCAAGGTTGACATTATAGACACAATAATTTCTTGTCCCGAATTAGGGGAACCATCATCACAGGGAAGGGGGTCAATTCCCCACAGACACAATGTCTTTTTGTTAGTTCTCTGTTGAAACATTAAGCAGAGAGTAACACAAGTCAGCATTTCTTCTCTGAGAGAAGGTATGGCCAAGACCCAACCCTCGGAAGATGATCTACACTGTCAGTAACATCAGTAGGTCTCCTCTTCCAAGGGGCTTCTACTGAAAGAGGGGAAAGTATGGTCACCCTGTGGACATGCAGGCGGCCCCTGAGAGTCCAGGAGAAGGCCTTTCTTGCCTCCTCCAGGGAGCGAAATGTAAACACAAGCTCTGCTGCATGTCTGATAGGTTGTGCCTTTGACCTCTCACCGAAATGACTAGAAATGGGCAGGCAGAATGGGATTAAATTTTTCACTTTTAAGCATAAAATAATCCAGGGAGGAGACTAACATAAAGTACCACTAGCTTAGAGTTCTGCATTCGTTTGCAGGTATGAAACTCCAGTATCAGAGATACGAAAGATGGGAAGCAGCTGAGGCACACATCTCATGAACCCCAAACATTTCAGTGGGGCACTGGGGCGTGCAGGTTCTGGGTGAGACAGGCTAAGTGGGTTGGTCAGTGGGTGCGGGGCTGGGGTCAGCCCTATCACAGGGGGAATCAGTGGCAGAACTCACCCCAGTACGACACCTAATTCTTTCACATGGACTCGTGTGTGTCCACGAAGATATTCGGACAGCATCTTACTTTTAAGGTACATCTCCTGTAGTCTATCTTCAAGATGCATGATGCACTGTGAAGCCAATAATATTCACAATGAGGGCTAGGATTCAAGTCTCTGCCAATATTCTAAAGAGCTGGAATTCTCTTAATTCATTTCTAAGGACACAGCTATAATCTCATTCCTTCCCAACACACTTAAAAATTACAAACCATATCAAACCAATGGTAGGTATAAGAAAAGGTTTTTATGAAACAACAGTTTACTTTTTCTAATGACTACTAAGATCTTCATACAAATCTGCTAGTCTTTTTTAAAAAGCAACATAGCTTCATTCTGTAAGTGCAATTATTTCCTACTTTTTAAAATCTTTGTAATAATCTTTTCCCCATGTTAATAATAAATCTTTATCAATGTAATTTTTATCATTAAATAATTTTTGAGAATGTGAATTACCATTATTTACTTATCCACATGGCAATCTGAGTTTTTGTTACTAGAAATAATTGTTTAAGGAGTATCTTTGTTGTCTTCCTATAGCTCACATGATTTCGGTGAAATGCATCCCCAACAGCAGAGTGAATGGAACAAGGTTACTTTAAAAATTTTTTTTCCTCTCAAGAGTGTATTTTAACTAGGTCTTTAATAACAATAAAGAAAAGGCAATTATTCTCAGGACATCTCTACCCTTGGAAATGTGTCCAACTTCATTTTTTAGAGAATAGCAACCATCTGTGTCTTTCACCAGAGGCAAATGCTTTTGCATTTGGCAGGCAGAGGCATCCAAGCATCTTCAGTAAGACACCTGATGGCTTTGGCAAGGGTAATTCCATCATACATAATTTTTTCTAGACCATTACGCCTGTTATTTTCAAGGTAAAAAGATTAACAGATGCATTTGAAAATGTTGATCTTGACCACCTGGGCTGATCAGTGACATGAAAAAAGTGTCTATTCGAGATGCAATCTTTTCAGTTTTTCACTGGCTTAAAATCTTAAATGCACTGTGTTGAGTGGATGAAAAAAACTGGTAAGTAACTAAGAGCAATAATCAAAGCAAGGAGGATTTCACCAATTTTCATGAAAATGTTCCTCCAAGTAAACAGTTAGGTGATAAAAGGATCTCCTGTTAAGTTTTCAGTTCCTTATGGAGTAAATACAAAGTTTTTAATAAGAGTGTTATAAAATATTAAAAAGAACATTCACATTATGTGGCATCCTTTGTTTTAAATGGTTAATTTATGGTGTCTTCATAGTCCCCATGAAAACTGTATGTTGTAATGTGGAAATAAAGAGAACATTGGTCTATATGGAACTTGAAATCAAATCATTTAGAATTTTTTTTTTTATAAAAGGTTTGATTATCAAATAGAACTGCTTTGGGTTCTGCCCTCCCCTTTCTGGAATTTTATTCCTGAGATGGATTTCTTTAATTTTTAACTTCTGAAATTTTAAATAGCTACTTTCTCCTTTCGAAAATACTGAAGGCTCTAATAGTCATTTAGTTGTGTTTCATTCAAGTAATTTTTTTAAGGAGAGTTTTAAACTGCAGATGAAATTTTCTTTGACCTTGGTTTTGTCAGGTTAAGTAAGTCATTCATAGTATTAAGTGACTAAACATACTGCTATCCAAACGAAGTAAAAAGAATTAGCTATAGCAATTTATTGCTTGGATAACTAAGATGTCAAATGTAGCTATGTATTACAGAATAAAATATTAAAGTTTGGCAAATACTTATAATAGTAAAAAAAAGTATAAAATCTAATGTATCTTTCTTTCCTTACAGAAAAAGAGAGTTCAGCCTCTAAATCGGCATGATGCAGCTTGCTACTAGGAAGAAAAACTGCCTGCAAATATAGAACAAAAGTAAGGTCATCATAACCCGGAAGTGCTTCTCACATTACCCCCTGGGACAGAGGTCCTGCAAGAGTATGCTTCAGTCTAAAGCCCAAATAAAGATTCTGGTGAAAAGCTGTTGTCAGTCTTTACAGCTAGTAAAATTATTTCATAAACTATTTATCAGCAATCACTCTAATAGTAGCTGTTTCCTGAGAACTCATGACATGTAACGCTGTTCCAAGTGCTTTACCTGAATCATCTAATTTCATTTTCATAACCGTATGAGGTAAGCTCCATCACCTCCTCAGCTGTACAGATATAGAAACTGAGACTCTGAGAAGTCACACAGGAAGGAGCAGAGCTTGAAAGTGACCCCAGACTACTGGGCTCTACAGGCCACGCACTGGCCACCGCTGTACACCGGCTGTCAGAGTGTCCCATATTGGCAGAGTGCTTTGCCAGTTTTTTAAAAAGCAGTATCTCAGACCTAATTTTCAGAGGATTCTCACAACATGCTTGTCAAATGCGTACTATCTTCGTTTTACAAGTGAGAAAGCCGAGGTTCAGAGACGCTCACAAGGCTCACCGATGGCAAAACCTAGACTTGAAGCCAGTTGCACTGAGGGGTCTCCCTACCGTGCCACACTGCCACAGCTTAGATGACAACCACACCGTATTTCAAATCACCATCTTGAAGGCCACAGAACTCTTGACTTTCTGAGGAATGTGGTGCAACTATAGGTCTGAAGAACTCGGGAAAATTGCCACTCCATTTGCATTACTGTAGGCAATTAATATTTAGCTTCCTCCTTTGTTATTAAATAGCTCTGTATCTGTTGTGGAGGCCAGAAGGGAGGTGGCGGATACTCTGGTCTGGGGGTATACTGCAGAGGGCAACCGAGTGCAGGGGGGAATGAGCTGAGAAGGTGGGCGCTCTCTCACCTCAGCGCAAATCCCTGAGGTCGGTCAGCTCACTTAACGATTCTCCTAGCTATCTGCCCTTGAGCCTCTCTTCCACTTTTGAGACCTTTCTCCGTCCCACTCAAAATATATTTTCTCTCAGTCTCTCTGCACACAGACACACACATATATTGAAAAGTATCTGTTTTCTACATTCATTCCAATGCCTGGGGGAGAGCTGTTAATCATTTCCTAGGAGTTTATGGGCTCTAGTTTGTGTTTAATATAATGTTATGAAGTCAATTTTTAAAAATCCCATTTAAAAAGGAACAACTGATACCATCGTCTATGGGTATAGTACTTCAAAACTGTGTTTATACAAATGATATTCTGTTTTATCCTTAGCACTTTTAGGAGAACGGTTCCTGAACAAAAGGAACTAGAATCCCTTCAGAAACTGGCCTGCTTGATGTTGATCCGATAAAGGAGAACTAATGAGTTCTCCAAAAGAAGATTTTAAATTTCCTTTTATGCCTGATCCCTTCCCCCATAGCTTTTTTCCTTTACCATATACCTTATTCAAAAAGATTTCCATGTCACTGTGTATTGTTTCATGGACGAGCTATTTTTACTGAAATCTACCCTGTTTGCTGGTGTTATGTTGCATGTTCTATTTTTACTTATGCTCATGTCCAATTATACGAAACACAAAACATTTGGGGTTGTGATTTTATAATCAAGGTACTGTTAAAAGTGTGGTAACTATCTTTCTTTGGTGATAGGAGAACAAGTACTTACAAAATCAGCAGGGAGGTGAAGCTTGTAAAGCTGTAAAATGGAGTGGAGCAAACTGGACACCTGACTCGAGACCAAGACATCCTGGCCCAGTTTCATGCCGTCCGTCACCTTCCTCTGACTTGTGGCTACCTGGACACTCCACTTGTCCGTGTCTGCGATAATACAGACCGCTTCGGCAATCGGCTCGTCAAGCACTGGGTGCTGGAAGGCAAACACAGGGGGTCAACTCTGCAAAGCACTGCCAAGTGGCACTCAGAATGTCCAGAATGTTTCCGTAATTTAGCATTAGCCTGACAGTTCACAAGCTGCCAGCAGGAGCTACAGGAATTGAGAGTGTTATGAGGACTAAAATAGGAGTGTCATCAAATCGTCATTTGAAATTCACATGATAAAAATTGCATTTAAGTGGTATTTTTTTTTCTTCCACCCAGGAGGTACGCTATAAATGTTGTTAACGTTCACAGATAAGTGAAAAGATATGTGCCCTCCTTACATCCCAGGATAGTAAAATTCCTTTCCTTTTGAAAGACTGCACTCTTCTTTTAAAATGGAGAAAATTAGAATAAGGTGAGGGATTCTATTGCCATTTCTCCAAAACAAGGTTAGTCAGGGCAACTTAACATTCCCTTAAAGTTATAGCTTTAATCATTAAGCAGTATTTACTTAGTGACCATGTGTTACATACATAAAGCAACTCTACCAACCAACTAAAATCAGATGAGGGACAAATTTATCTAGAGGAGTCCAAAAGGTCAAACGATGGCTACTGATGAGTAACTTAAAATGCAAAATCCTCAGTAACTATGTAGTTATGGATAGAGCAAGCTGACTATTTTAAAAGGAGAAACTTAATGGGTACAAGAAATGTAAAAAAAAAAAAAAAAATCAAACTTGAAAAATGAGCATGAGTCATTTTTAAATCACTGGATCAAAGAGAAAAGACTAAAGACAAAGGGGTCAAGGGTTGAGACAAACCATCAGGAATCTGTGAGCCCATTCCTTGAAGGAGGGGCCTGAATCTTTTCTGCCTGAATTCTTAGCCCTTAGCACAGGACCTGGCATTTGAAAAATGTTACTAAATTAAAATGAGACAGGTTAAGTTCAAGCAAATGACAGAGTTGATGAGCACCCTGCATTCCCTAAAACAGCATGGTATTGCTGACTCCTATGTTAGGAGGTTCCAGAACAGAGAAGAACAGGCCAAACATTTACAGAAGAGTACCTTAAAAGAAATACTTCAAGCATGACACATTCTCAGGCTACTACATATCTAACACAGAGCTCCCTGAATATATTCACAGGGCAACCCAATGTCTCCAACCAATCATATCATTTAGTAACTACTCACTTATTTACTGAGGAATAAACACTTTTTTTTTAAGATTTTATTTATTTATTTGACAGAGAGAATGAGCACAAGCAGGGGGAGAAGCAGGCGGAAGGGAGGGAAAAGCAGGCTTGATCCCAGGACCCTGGGACCATGACCTGAGCCGAAGGCAGATGCTTTACTGACTGAGCCACCCAGGTGCCCCAAGAATAAAGACTTTTTAAAGGAGGATGGAAGTAAAGGAAATGTAAATTGGTCAAGGTTAAAAAAAGGAACGCTGGAGAGATATCATAAGCAACTACTTTCGTTACAATTTAAGGGATGCCAAGGCTACTGGTGGTCCATTGCTGACTTGGTCTAAACTTCTTTGGGGTCAGAGAGTTGAAGCTTACTTAAGTTCCAATGATTCTGGAGATTTCTCATATGTATCTTTCCAAAGAAAACATAAACCCCACTAAAGAGATCTGGCTTATGATCTGGCTTATTAGTCAGTCTCTAAGCTTTCAGAATTTAAAGAACTCTAAGATCCAGAAGACCATGTTTGGATTTATCACAGAAACACACACCCATACACACCCTATGCCCTGGTATTCAATTTAAAATTCCTCTTAGGAAAGGCTCTACTTTTAAGGCACATGTAGAACTACAATAAACAAAAAAATTACATGTATGCCTTTTTTTTTTTTTAAGATTTTATTTATTTGACACAGACAGAGAGAGCACAAGTAGGGGGAGAGGCAGAGGGAGAAGGAGAAGCAGGCTCCCTGTTGAGCAGGGAGCCTGATGCGGGCAGGGCTCAATCCCAGGACCCTGGATCATGACTTGAGCTGAAGGCAGATGCTTAACCAACTGAGCCACCCAGGCGCCCCTGTATGCTTCTTTTTAATACCAACTTTTTCTTTTTAGCTGTATCTTAATCATAGAACAAATTAAAGGTGAAATCTGTCACGGCAATTTTTTAAGTTCACAATTTTATCAAGTTCCCGTGTACACCAGGGTACACACAAACACATACACTTGGCAGCAGCAGTAACACACATGAGCAGTCCTTCTGGGAAATTAAGTAGCTTAAGAAATGCTGTAAAACCTAAGACTGAAGGATTCAGACACCTATTAAAAGCCTGATCCATCCATCTGCTGTTCTTAGGGCTTGGAGTTTGGGCGTAGAGACTAGAAAAAAAGAAATGAGCAGGAGAGGCAGGGCATGGCTGCATCCTGGTGGAGACTGTGGCCTCCTATGGATCTTAAGAAAAGGAAGATACAATATGGATAGCTATCATATTGGGCAAGTAATTTTACTTAGTAAGATTCCTCTTCTTAATGTTAAAAAACCCTTTAAGGAGTGGGGGGCACTTTGTTAGTTTGACTAAATATCATCAGAAAACCCAAAAAGCCCCCATCATATATTTACCCCTTTAAAAGTTCTCCTCCCAACCATCAGTGTCTGAGATTAAACAGCACCTCTGATGTTTTGAGTTTTGAGTGAAAATCCGAAGGAAATATTAATATTAAAAATAGTCACTTCCCCTTAAAAATGCTTGTTTGGTTGAAAACTTTATGAACCGTAGGAACACTGTTATGTATCAATTGTCCTTTTCTCTCTCAAACCAAAGAGAATTAATTTCAAGGTACATTTCTTGCCCACAGAGTTCACTAGATTCTCTTATCAGAATGAGTCTGCAAAGCTGCCTGGGTGGCTCAGTCGGTTAAGCGTCTGCCTTTGGCTCAGGTCATGTTCCCAGGGTCCTGGGATCGAGCCCCGTGTCGTGTTGGGCTCCCCGCTCAGCAGGGAGTCTGCTTCTCCCTCTGCCCCTCTTCCCACTCGGTCTCTCTCTCTCTCTCAAATAATAAATGAAAAAAAAATTTTTTTTAAAGAATGAGACTGCAATGTTTCTACATTCTCCATAATCTGAGATTTCCAAAAGTGCTGCCCTATTCCCGCCCTTACAAGTGCCCACACCCCGCTGAGCGCACATCCATTACCCAGGTGGCAAGGCAGAGCTGCCAGCCCTCCTGCCCCTGCTGTCCCCCGCCCTGCCCCCTCTTCCACACAGCTGCCCGCAGCCTCTGTGTCTGTGCCTCCCTCAGAAACCTGATCAGACAACTGAGAAACTTCTGACAGAGACTGGAGGATGAGAGAACACTGGAGATCAATGGAGAGCTGTGGGCGATTGTCAGGGTGGATGGCCAATCTCCATCAGCGGAATGAAGTCGAGGCAACAAAGCCAATTATCTTTTTTGCCTTGCTCTGCTCTATGGGAGTTAGAAACAGTCATTTATTTAGCACTACTTTGTCAATATCTCATTTACCCAATCTACTTTCCCGTGCTGATTTCTCAAGATAAAGTGACAAATGAAATGCTTCATATTATAGGTCTTTAAAGGTTTCTCAAATATCCTTTGCCTATTGTATTTTGTTAAATCATCAGATTAAGTCTGGTAATTCATAGCCACTAGGGATTTGTGGATCTGTTTTCCAGGAGTTCTAGATGTCCAGGACGTTCCAATTTCAGGGTTCTGGATCAGATTTCTGAGTACACAAAATATGCTGCCTTGGCTTATACACCCATGACTTCTGCCTAACAAACTCCCAGAACCAAGAAATGTCTGCAAGGTTTGAGTAATCAGAAGAGCCATGGTTCGGATATTTCAGTGAAGGGCAGTGATAAGACAACTGCAAAGGCTCTGAAGTAAGACAGGGCTGGGCTTGAGTATCACTTACTACCTATGGGACCTTAGAAACTTGTTAATCTGGGCTTTGGTGTCTACACCTGTAAAATATGACCTAATTCACAGAGTTTCTGTGATGTTTAAGTGAGGTTTAATTTATGAAGGTTTTCTGTGAGGAAAAATGTGTATGAAATTTGTGGCACAGACACTTACTTGCCATGTTCGATTTGCTCTCTTGTACCATCCCCCCATCTATATTAATCACGTCCACAAAACCCTCAAACTTCCTAAAATACCACATCATCATTTCCCTTACCAACTAAAAAACCTACTCTAGCACCTATCAACCAAACACCTAAGTTCAAACTTTTCTTTTTTTCTCTTTTTTTAAAGATTTTATTTATTTCTGCAAGAGAGCTGGGGGCGGGGAGGGAGAGGGGGCACACAAGCGGTGGGGAGGGGCAGAGGGAGCAGACCCCCCTCCCAATGAGCAGGGAGCCCAATGTGGGGCTCGATCCCAGGACCCGAGCCGAAGGCAGATGCTTAACTGACTAAGCCACCCAGGCACCCGATTCAAACTTTCCTTCTTCCATACTTAAAGCTCTTTACAGTGTGGGCCACATTCACCTATACATATTTACTTCCAGGACTCTCTAAGAACCCCCTTCTCCAGGCTGAGAGGGCTCCTGCCTCTTACCTCAGGCTGTGCCTAGAATGTTGTCCCTGCTCCCTTCTAAATTTTTCAATCTTTTGGGGGCCTCTGGGTGGCTCAGTAGGTTAAACATCTGCCTTCAGCTCAGGTCATGAACCCAGGGTCCTGGGATGGAACCCCACGTCAGGCTCCCTGCTCAGCAGGGGCGTCTGCTTCTCCCTTTGCCCCCACCCCGCTCTCGCGCTCTCTCACTCTCTCTCTCTCAGATAAATAAATAAAATATTTAAGAAAAAAATAAATGTTGCTGGAGTGGAGGGGGGTGGGCTGGGGTGGCTGGGTGATAGACACTGGGGAGGGTATGTGCTATGGTGAGCGCCGTGAATTGTGTAAGACTGATGAATCACGGACCTGCACCCCTGAAACAAGTAATACATTACATGTTAATGATAAAAAATTACCTTTTTCTAAATAAATAAATTAAATAGATGTTAAAAAAATAAATAAGATCTTAAATTTTTCAACCTTTCAAGGACCCAACTTAGGTCCCACCCC